GGCGCTGCCTCCTGGCTACAGTTACACCAGCCTGCCATACTACACAGGGGTTCCGGGCCTCCCCAGCACCTTCCAGTATGGGCCTGCTGTGTTCCCTGTGAGTACCTGGGTTTGCTTTTCCTTTTGGTGAAGAAGCCCAGCCCCTGGACCCTGACCTAGCTGCCTTCAAGGCTGAATGATTTTTTAATCATGGGTGAGGAAAAACCAATCCCTCTCTGGCTGGAATTTTGCAGGTATCAGGATAGATGTTACTTCTTAGAATTCTCTAAAGAGAGGAGGTGACACAGTACATTCATTCCCTGTTGCCACTCGCTGCTTTCCCTTCCTTCAAACTAGCATTTCCTGACTTTACTGGTAGATTTTCTAAAGCTCCGTAGGGATCCCATTTCACTAAGCAGACTGTGGTCAGCTTGCCACAAGGCCATAGCCATCTGAGTGCCCAGGTCATGGAGCAGGTGGTGACGGTTCCCTGTCACCATCTCACCTCCCTTCTGGCCCTGTCGCTCTTCAGGTGGCTCCTACCTCTTCCAAGCAGCATGGTGTGAATGTCAGTGTGAACGCATCAGCCACCCCTTTCCAGCAGCCAAGTGGATATGGGTCTCACGGATACAACACTGGTAAGCTCACCTTGACCCTGGCTGTCCGTGGTTTCTGCAGGATGTGACTAAAGGAGTTTCAGGGAGGAAGATGTGCTTGAGAGAACAGGGGCGGCGAGGTGTGTGCCTGCTAGCAGCTGCACACAGGGTTGTCCATGTCTGACCGACGTGGGTGTCAGAAGTGCTTGGTGTTAGAACACGTGTCCAGCCCTCATGATGGGGGTGCCATGCGGCCTGTGTTGGCTGTCAGAATATGTTGGCTGGCCAGACTTGGGGTGGGACACAGGACAGGGGGCCCCAAGATGTTGCTAAGCGGTCAGTGGGGATGGGCGTGAGAATGTCTGGTACTGGTGGTTCTCAAGGAGAAGCACTTACTGCACAGCAGCGTGGGCGTGGGAGGTTCTTACCCAGTGTGCTCCGGCAGGGTGGGTTAACCCTCTTCGTAGCCCCCTTTCCGCATGCAGCCCCTTTCTGTTCCCCAGCTGGGAGACTTAGGGCCTGGAGAGAAAGGCTGGGGTACGAGAGCTCAACAGAGGGATGGTGGGACCTTAGGGTCCTTCGTTTGTATGGCTGATCGCTTGGCAAAGTCTGTCTGCATATCTGATGGCAGGGCGGAGATGTAGGAACTGACCTAAAAGAGAACTAGTCTGTCCCCTGCTTCCCTAGTGATGCCTGCATTCCACTTGTGGAGGACCGGTCCATCTGCTTTTTTCAGTGACTTGGAGACAAATGTGGGGAGGAGGCTTTTGCAGTTTAAAGAGTTGGGATCGAGGGCTCTTCAAAATTCTAAAGCTCACTGATGGCGTCATGGTGACTTGGTGGGAGCTACATCTGCGTTCTTGACCCCTGTGTGGGCTCCAGGTGGCTCAGTGGCCCAAGGGTTTCAATAATCGGGGAACTCTGAACTGAGCACAGAGGGCAGTAGGTCTGGGAACTAACAACCGGATGGAGCTTTGAACTGTGTTGGAGCACTTGGAGTGAGTCTGGATTCAACCCGGAAAATTCCTGAGTCGCTCCACTCCTCATGGCTGCCCCTCTCACCGAGCAAGGTGCATCCTAATCCTTGGTGGGGACACTTGTCAGCTTTCTGACTTGGAGTGGCCCCAGTCTGAGAACATGAGGTATAAGTTTTAGCTGGACCAGGTTCAAGAATTTTAAGAGGTAGGTGATTGATAATATAAGAGAACGGCATACCTGATTCTGGAAATCCTAGTTTCTTATCTACCTTAAAAGATTTGAGAAATCTGCTATAACAGTCTTTTGAGAACCCCCAGTTCCCGACCCCACAGAGGGCTCTTTCATCCCGTTCCTCATCAACCTCTAAATTCATTTATTTTTATGTATTTGATTCCTTTTAGGAAGAAAATATCCACCCCCTTACAAGCATTTCTGGACGGCAGAGAGCTAATTTGGCCCAAGGCTGGGGGCTGTGTTTTGTGTGTGTGTATAAATTTGCACTGAAGTCTTGTTTCAGAAACCAGACCACTGAGGAGAGCCTGCCGAGCTGAGGCCACGGCCTGCGTGGCTTGGGGAAATGAGTTGGTGGATACCTTCTGGGCTTTGAACTTGCCCTGCCCCCGTTTCCCTCTCCCCCACGTGTCTGACCCTGTCTTACCCATTCCGAGTTCAAGCGGTGCAGCGCCTCCGAAGCATCAATGCACACACCTGCCGTTGCTTTTGATTTCTGGAAGGCATGTAGTTTCACCTTGTAACAAAATTATTTGTAGTCTTCAATAAACTGTGGTATTTCTTTAGCTAACTCTGGCGTTCTTTCCGTGCATGTCTTTCTGGACACTAGGAGCCAATGTTGTGCTGTGGATGAAGGGTGGAGGGGGGCCTTCTCAACCAAACCCCAGTGTAGCCAAAGAGCTAAGAAGCGTTCACTTCTCGGTGTGGCGGTTTTCTCCAGGTGGGAGAGGGGAGGCACACTCCGTGTCCAGCCCTTTGACTGATTGACTGGTAAAGAAAGGTATTTGTAGAAAATCCCTGATTCTCCACGTTTAGTACAGCTCTTCACTTTTCCACTCGATCTTTCCTGCGCCTTTGGCATAAGCAGAGGGAAAGGACAAAACCAGCTTGGAGTGTCATCATGGTGAAAGGCAGAAAGAGGTGGTGTTCAGAGCTGGTTTAGGGAAGTGGCTTCCAAGGCCCCGGGCCAGATGGCAGGTTGAGAGTGGATCAGGTCTTTAGTGACCAGCTAGGTGACGACTCGGGCTGTGACAACTGTGCTGGCCAGCACTGCTTGGGGGTTGTAGACTACTCGTTGCTTTGCACTTGTGGGTGTAGCTAAGGACGTGCGGGAGAGGTTTCGTTCGACTTCTCCGTGACTACGGGAATTCTCCCCCCTCGATCCAGCCCATCCAGCCGCTAGTACCCCGTCGCCCCTTTGTTTACAGAGTTGACTCTTGCGGCGAGAACAGCGTCCTTTGTTAAGTGCAAACCCAGGTTAAGTCCAAAACTGGATACTCCACTTCCTCTGTATTTGCCCCCTGCCCCCGGGGCTGCCCTGCTGGGAGGCACTGGTTGTTTCTGCTCCCTGCTGTGCACTGCTTGGGGGGCCTGGCCGGGCGGGGGCGCTGGCTGTTGGAAGGAAAGCGGGAGAACTCTAGCCTGAGGAGCTGTCTTGTAGCAGGTGAAGGGGAGGCGCGGCCCAGTGCCTGTCACAGCTGGGGTCTCTAGTGCTCACAGCAGGCCGCAGGGGCTGCCGCGTTCTCTTGTCCTGAGTCTCCAGTCCCTTCAACCAGCTCCCAGACCACGGCCTCAGGGCGAGAAGCTGGATTTTAGCCAGTCCAGCCTCTGGGGAGAAGGAGCCCAGGTGTGTCTGTGGCGGGGGCACTCTAGAACTAAATTCCTCCCTACCACCCAGCCCGAGAAGCCAGTTAGCCATTTGTACCATCCTGCGTGGGGGTGACCCACGGTGCCCACAAGGTGTTTGAACCTTCGCAGCAAAGATCAATCATGGGCTCTCATTTCCCTGGAAAATGTTCGTATTCCGTCTGTCCTACCTCACTGTCAGCCCCTCCGCACAAACCTCAGCGCCTTAGCCTTTCCCATGAATCAACTGTTCTTAAGGTTGGGTCCCCACAGGGATTTGCACCCTGGCACCTGGGGTCTGAAAAGGGAAGGGGAAACACTACCCCGTAAGTCCCCGTACCTTCCCTTCTTTTACTGCAGGGCCTTTGAAGGGTGGAGGCGCTGCTCTGGAGATGGGGTGAGCTTTTCCGCGCTGTCTCTGCAGTTGTGTTCTCTTTCTCTGGCACCCCGTGGGGCGGGCCGGGTTTGTGCCGTGGGCAGGCCTTCCAGGTGAAGACCCCGTGCCCCAGGGAAGGTCCCGAGTGGCTGTCCAGGTGGGCTCTGCCTTGGACGGCTGCCCCTGTGATGACATTGGGAGCATCTGGGTTCTGGACTTTGACGAGGGAGTTGCTCTTGAGCTGTGGGGGGACTTGTGACGTGGTCACTTTGGCACGGTGCTTCTGAAAAACTCTTCTATCCAAGTGCCTCGGACAGCAGGAGAAGGATCCAGGGACACAGGCTGAAATGTGGTTTTTCTGAAGATTTATTTTATCTCGTGATGAGATCGATTATATCTTAAGTGTGTTTTAAATTCCAAGTTAATATTGAATTATTTTTCCTCAAATCTTTGCAGAAAATCTCTTTAGTAAGATGCTGGGTTATTTTATTTGATGGCTTCTCCCCATCTCCCTGATCCATTGCCCCATACCCCAGGGTACAATGCGTAGTTCAGTTTAAGGACTGGAAATTGAGAGGAGGAATCTGCTGTTCTGGCCTCCTTGGAGTGGCCGTGGCGGCGGGAGCTTTCACCGGGAGCACAGGTCGTCGGGAGTACGGATTAGAGCCTGTGTCCCTGGGAGAAGCTTAGGATTTTTTGGTCCACCTGGAGCGGAGGAGACAGCGTACTCCACTACCTTCCTTACCCTCCCCTCCCCGTGCTCAGGCTTCAGTCACTTAGCTGGAAATGACCTTTGTGTGGGCTCTTTAAACCCTAAGCACGTGGCCTAGAAGAGCCAAGACCCAGGTGAGCCAAGACTGACAGCGGGCCGTGCTCTTGGGCTTGGACTGGACGGCTCCTTGGGTGCTTACCTTACGCCGCGAAAGCATGCATTCTTGAGCCCAGAAGTGTCTCTGTGAACAGACAGATTGCGGACTTACCTGTCTTTCAGGAGTGTGACTGAGTGGAGTCTGAGTGGGTTGATTAGAAATGGATATTTTTAAAAAATTTTTTTTAATGTTTTGTTTATTTCTGAGAGAGAGAGATAGCGTGAGCAGGAGAGGGTCAGAGAGAGAGAGGGAGATACAGAATCCGAAACAGTCTCCAGGCTCCAAGCCGGCGGTCAGCACAGAGCCCGACGTGGGGCTCAAACCCACAAACCGTGAGATCATGACCTGAGCCGAAGCCGGAGGCCTAACCGATTGAGCCACCCAGGCGCCCCTAGAAATGGATGTTAAACATCTAATACGTTTCTTTTGGGCTTTGGCACCAAAGTGTTTTGACAGGTATATGCTGGTGAAGTTTGGCCGTGGCCCCTGGCCACACAAAAGGCAGCTCTCCTCGCCCACTCTCTCGTACACATGCTCAGCAGGCACCTGGAAGGGTGGGAGGTTCGGGCATGAGCCCTCATCTCTCAGGACTGCCCTGAGCCGGAGAGACAGAGCGGGGCCTCCTGGCAGTGCCCTAGCTGGGGGCCGCGCACACCGCCTCCTCCCCCGGGAGAGGGGCCGGCAGCCAGCTGAGCTAACCGTCCTGTCTCCTCCCCCCCAGGTGTGTCAGTCACCTCCAGTAACACGGGCGTGCCGGACATCTCGGGCTCTGTGTACTCCAAGACCCAGGTAGGTGCCTTCCTTGGGGTCTAGGGGGAGGGGCGGATGCGGAGGAGGCGCTGCTGCAGTGACAGGAGCTCAGGGAACAAGAACGACCTGAGAGGGGCCGGGAAGCCCATCCCAGGAAATGAATGAATGAATGGTCTCTAGACTGCAGTTTCTCGAAGTTTGGACTTAGCCCTCTGAGAACAGGCAAGAGAAGCATTTAGGAAGGGGACGTGTCGTGTGGCGGGCCGCTGGGACGCGGGGTTTAGTGTGCGGCTGTCCCGACTTTACCCCCTGCCAGCCTTCTCGTGACTTTGCGAGAGAACGAGCACAGAGTGCAGGGAAGCTGGCGCGGCCCGTTCTTTGTAGACAGAGCGGGGGCTCCAGCGAAGTCCGGAGTCCTGGCAGAGCGCTTCGCGGCCGAGCTCCAGGGCGGGTGGAGGGGAGCAGCCGACTGCAGAGTTACAGGGCGGCCTCCCAGCTGGGGAGTCCGTGGCACCCCTGCGAGGCAGAGAGGGGGTACTTCTGTCAGGGTCACTTGGCTCCTAACGAGCACAGCGGACACAGCCCAGGGCACTGGTGCCCTGTGCCACCTCTGATGCTGGGCCGCTCCCGCCGGGAGGGGGGTCGGGCTCAGGTTCCAGAGCGTGGTTTGCTGACCCCTTTTGCCGTCTCTCCTCCCCACCCTGGGCAGCAGTCCTTCGAGAAACAAGGTTTTCATTCCGGCACTCCTGCTGCCTCCTTCAACTTGCCTTCAGCCCTGGGAAGTGGGGGCCCCATCAATCCGGCCACAGCTGCGGCCTACCCACCTGCCCCCTTCATGCACATTCTGACCCCCCATCAGCAGCCGCACTCCCAGATCCTCCACCACCACCTGCAGCAGGACGGCCAGGTAACAGCTCTCCCCTCTCCCTTCCCTTCCTCTTCCTTCCTGTCCCCTGGAACTGCCCCCTTTCCTTCTCTTCCCCTCCTCACCACCACCTTCACCCGCCCCTCCCAGCGCCAGCCATGGGCACACAGCACAGACAGACACAAGCGCACACAACACGAGCTGCCGGCAGAGGAGCGGTCAGAGAAGGGGCCGGGCTGAGCCTTCTTCGCCCGGGTCCCTCCGCGCCTTTCTCCTCGGCCTCCTTGTAGCACAGCCGCCCTCATCCCATCAGACCTGGGTCACACCTACCCTCTGACCTCTCCCGGCCTCCCCCCTTCCCTGACATTGTAGCTTTCCCTTCTGATGGTGGAGTTCTCTTGTCAAAGTTTGTCCCTTTATTTTCCATATATCCTGGTTCTGCCTCAGCTACCATATTTGCAGATGATTCTCTGTTGCCAGCGCCAGCAGGAGGAGCAGGTAATGAAACTGAATGATGTGCTTGAACCCACTCCTTCCCGGCCCCCATTTCACCTCCACAGCCTCAGGGAACTTGAAGACAAAAAGCCGCACCGTCACAGATCAGGACACACACACACAGACACCTTGCTGAGCTCTCTGGCCTCCTGTTCCTCTCTTGCCCTCCCCTCCCCAGTGCCCTCTTTTTCTTTCTGCCCTTTCCCGACTCTGGAGACACTTGGAAGGATTTCCTGGGGCAGCGTCTGGAGCCTGGGGCCTCAGACTGTCTCTCCTGCCTTTTGGCCGAAACGGGCTCTCCGCTGCGTTGTGTTGGGGAGCGGGCGGCTGGGGGGCGGACACAGGGGGCTGGGGAGCTGGCGTAAGTTAGGGGCGCCTTGCTCTCAGAGACGGCCTTCCAAACTGGGGCATTCGTGGGGTCAGTGAAAACGAGGTCACCTTGTGATCCCTCATTTCCAAGAGACCATGACTCTCTAGGGAGCAGCCTCTGCTCAGGGCAGTGGGGCGGGGGAGAAGGGACTGAAAGCGGGCAGAACTCACTCACAGTCTCGTCTCTAAAGGGGTCCTGCCGTCTTGTCGTCGTTCCCACGTTTAAAGGTCGGAAATGCTTTCTTACCTGTCAGGCGCCCTAGCAGCCATAGACCCTTCGTGTTCCCTGGTTGGGAAGTAAACTTCAGAGTAGTTCCTCTAAGCAAGGGGAGAGCAAGACCGCGTCCAGACCTGCACGTGGATGTCCCCGATCTGCCCCACTAACCAGACACCTTTCTCCTCACCGTCCCATCCCTGCAGACGGGCAGCGGGCAACGTAGCCAGACCAGCTCCATCCCGCAGAAGCCCCAGACCAGCAAGTCTGCCTACAACAGCTACAGCTGGGGGGCCAACTGAGGCCCCGGCCCTCCCCCCCAGAGGGTCCTCAGCCTGGCAACTACGGAACCGGCATCAGAGAGAGAAAGGAATGGGGGGGTCCGCTGCCCCCCCCGCCCCAGCGGCCCACCCCATGCCTCAGCTTCATGTCTGTCCGTTCCCATACCATCCCCCACTCTGTTGTCTGTACCATAGGATTTGTATTTTCTCCCTCTCCCCCCTTCCCTGTCTCCCTCCCCACCCCCCTTGCATTCAAGATTATGAAACTTTGCTGTGGGCCCTGCCTGCCTTCTCCTCCTCCTGTTCACCCCGGTGGTGTATGGGTGAGGTGGGGAGGGGGACCCCCAAATATATATCAGCCCAACAGCCCTAAGTCTCCTCCTTTATTATTAGGAAACAAAACAACAAAAAATGGCGTCATGAATATGAACAGCATTGTCAGATGAATTAGTTGAAGTGTTTTCTGTTTTTTTTTTTTGTACTGTGTCCTCAAATTTAATGGATTAACGTGTCTTGTATATATAAAAAGAAAACCTCTACCTTCAGCCTCTGCCCATTCTTGCTCCGTCCAGGACCTCCTCAGTCTCGCAGGGAGCGGCCCGGGGACGGAGCGCTGCACACCAGCCGCCCTGGCGGCTCCAGGGCCCCAGGAAGCCCCGGGGTCCAAAGCTCTTGGCCCTTCAAGTGCCGCTGGTCTCTTGCTCTAAGGGATTCCCTGTCCTCCTCCCCCAACAATTTCACAGCCTAGAAGGAACCACCCCAGTTTTCATCTTCTCCGGAAACTGCCCCATCTGCAGCAGATCTCAGGCTGTGGAGGGAGTGGAGAGCAGATACCGGGGGGAGAGGGAGGCGATCAAGAAGGAGCTGGATGCAGATGGGCCCGGGCCACACGCGACTGGGCCAGCAGATCGGGCGAGGGGTGCCGGCGGGGGTGCAAGCCGGAGAAGTCGGGGGCCGCAAAGGGGATACTTACAGCTCCAACTCCTCCCCCCGCAAGCCTTCCCTGCGCTCCCCTCGCCCTCTCGCAGAGCCTGCCCGGTGGACTCCGGGCTCCGCTTAACGACACCCCGTTGGCTGGAGCGCGCCAAGTCCGCGCGTCCCCGACCGACACCGACCGGGGAACTCAGACCCGGAGCGAGGCCGGCAACGGCCGCGGCGGCTGCCCCCTGGCGGCGGCGACGGCGGCCCCACGCGGCCCCACGCCGTCGGAGCGCCCAGGGCACCTGGCGGCCGGCGCGGGCGGCGGCGCGGGCGGCGGGCGAGCCCCGGCAGACGCGGGTTCGGGACGCCCGCCGCCCGGGCCGAGCCGCGCGCTCCGCCCCGCCCCCGGCCCCGCCCGCGCCGCGCTGACGGTCGTTTTGCGACAGTGTGCCGGGGCGCCGGCCTGCTTTCCGGCAAGTGGCCTGACGCTTCTCTCAGTTTCCGGCCGCGGGGCGCAAGCGGCTGCCGGGAGCGAATGGGCCTCAGTGGGGTCCGCGGGTTCGAGTCCCAATTCGGGGATGAGCCTCTTTGATCTCTTTCGGGGCTTTTTCGGCCTTTCTCCACCTCGGAGGTTAGAGTGGGTCGGGACGGGGCGAGCGTAGGGGCCTTTGAGGGGAGCCGGGCCCCGCACGCCTCCGCCCTCCGTCACCGGCTGCGCGGCGGCCGCCGGGGGCGGGGTAACCGCGGCCTGGGGTGATGCCACGGGGCCCGGCTGGGGCAGCAGTGGGGCTGCGGGGTGGACCGTGGGCAGCTGAGCAGGGCCCGGGCGACACCGCGAGGGACCGCCAGGTGAGGACTGGCGCTGAGAGAAACGAAGACAAAGCAAAAACTCGACGGCCTCCCACAGGAAACACCCCCACACCCACGGCACCAGCGGAGGCGCACGGCCAGCCCTGCCCGCCGCCCTCCAGGCCCTACTCGTGCCCCGCTCTGCCCCCCCTTGAGCTGACTTTATGGCTTCAAGTACTAAACTGTTGCTGGTCGATCTGCCTTCACTCCCAGCCACAGAGACCCCTTTTTTGGAGGCATGACTCGAGAGGAGGAGGAGGAGGAGGAGGAGGAAGAAGAAGAAGGAGCCACGTGGGGCCGTGGGAGCTCGAGGTTTGAGGGTCCGCAGTCCCCGGAGGAATTTGGCTTCGGCTTCAGCTTCAGCCCAGGAGGAGGGATGCGCTTCCATGATAACTTCGGCTTTGATGACCTAATACGGGATTTTAACAACATCTTCAGCGAAATGGGGGCCTGGACCTTGCCTTCCCACCTTCCTGGTGTGTGGCTGTCCCCGGTCAACCTGTGGTTCCTACTGGGTTGGAGGGTGACATTAGGAGCCTGAGGAGAGTCGCTGGGGGGTGGGGGGTGGGAGGTGTGACAAGATGGATGATATCGAGGTTTCAAAGAGCCCAAGCCCTGTCCCACCCCCAGAATCGATCTGCCACCACCTTTCTGCAGAACTTCCAGGTCCTGGTCTTGAGTCAGAGACACCTGGTGAGAGACGACAGGAGGGACAGACACTCCGGGACTCAATGCTTAAGTATCCAGATAGTCACCAGCCCAGGATCTTTGGGGGGGGCTTGGAGAGTGATGCAAGAAGTGAATCCCCCAAACCGGCACCGGACTGGGACTCCCAGAGACCTTTTGGTCTGGTGAGTGCTTCTGGGTGGAGTGAGAGCCCGTGGGAGACGGCTCATGGAGCCCAAAGGCTGCCTTGTGAGAATCTGACAGGGTGGGGCCCCAGGTTCTCCACTTAGTGTGTTTGATCTGTTTTCTGTATAAGCTTCATGTAGGATTTTCTCAGGGGTGGGGTTGGGGATGAGGGAGCAGGGATGCTGCTTTTTCTCTTAAAAGAAAAAAATCGCTGGTCTGTTAGAATTCTGGAACAAGGCAGGATTGTCAGGTAGGATAGAAAGCGTCCATTCGGGAAAGCTTTTTGGCAGAAGGAGAGATCAAACAGGTAGGAAGGAGGAAGGGGTGAGTAAACAAAGTCATCCTGAGTGGGATCATCTCTCCCAGGGAAAGGTGGCTTTGGAACCTTTGGGTTCCGACCTCTCAGATTTCCAGTTGAAAGGTATCATTTCACCTCCTCTGCCTTCTTTTGCAGTTTGATGACACGTGGCCTCTGACCCCCCATTCTAGAGCCAGAGAAGACAATGGTGAGTCTGGAGGGAGAGGATATTTAGCCTGCCCTCTGATCTCCTCTGAAGTTTCTTCTTGCCACACTTGACCCCTTCTTTCCCTTGGACTCTTGATTTTCTGCTTCCTCTCTCTGCCCTTCTAGATCTTGATTCCCAGGTTTCCCAGGAGGGCCTCGGCCCAGTTCTGCAGCCCCAGCCCAAATCCTATTTCAAGAGCATCTCTGTGACCAAGATCACTAAGCCGGATGGGGTGAGTTGGAAGAGAGGGTTAAAAGGAACTGTGGCCAGGGGGTGCCCTGGAGAGAGGGGTCAAGGTAAAGACACCCGTGGGCTCACCTTTACCGATGTTAGAGATACGGTTGGGACTTGCCCTTGCAGACAGTAGAGGAGCGCCGGACTGTGGTGGACAGTGAGGGCCGGACAGAGACCACAGTGACCCACCAAGAGGCAGACGGCGGTCCCAGAGGTGGTGAGTACGGACCGTGAGTCACATGCGTCTCTTAGTTCCTTGGGAAGGGGGAGCCCTTATCGTTCTAGCCTTCAGTAGCATCCGTTTGCTTGTCTTCTTTCATTCAGCGTGTCGGTGTGTATCGCTTTCTTCCTTAGATCCAGACCCACCAGCACCTCCAGGCCTGAGTGATGCCTCTTCCCTCCTGGATTTATTCCTAGGACGCTGGTTCCGTCCCCGGTAGCCCTCCTAACCCTCAGAGGCCTTCAGATCGCTCCCCGCCTCTGCCCACCATCCGTGTCTCCGCCTGCCACCTCAGGCCCTGGGCTGTGCGGAGCAGCGAATTGGGGGTATGTCAGTATGTGACTCGCCCAGACTGACCAATAAAACCTTTATTTATGCTAATTCTTCAGTCTTGGTTTTGTCCAGGCTGTTCCGCTTTCCAGCACCAACCAGGGCTTCCCAGGTTGTCTGGGCCCGCAGCCGCCCTCTTCCTGCTTACGTGTCTTGTTCTACTTCCAAAACCTGATTTGATAAATAGGATCAGGTGCTTGGTAGAAGATGATTATTCTTGTGGAGGAGATACCTATAGAGACAACTCCAGGAAGATTTCTACCTGGGAATGCACCAATTTCTCAAAAGAGGAAGCCTGTGTGGGAAGGTAGGGGATAGCTGTTTACCTGGGATTGGGCAGTTCAGGAGAGACTTTGGGGGAACACACTGGCAAAGAGCTCTTCCTTTATTGGCTACGTTCTTTCTTTTCTTTTTTCTCTCTCTTTTTTTTTTTTTTTTTTTTTTTTTTTNACATATGTTGAAGAAAATCTAACTAGGACAAACGTTACTAGATTTTTTTTCTCATTAAAACCTCTTTTAGTACTGTGGCTTAGGGTGGCTGATCTTATGCGTTTATTTACCTGTGCTACCTTGACGCTTTACTAAAATGACAGACAATAGGGGCGCCTGGGTGGCTTAGTCGGTTAAGTGTCCGACTTTCGCTTAGGTCATGATCTCGCGGTTCGTGGGTTCGAGCCCCGCGTCGGGCTCTCTCTCTCTCTCTCTCTCTCCTAGAAATAAATAAAACATTAAAAAAATAAAATAAAATGACAGACAATAAAGGGATTTTTCTAAGGAGACATATCACAAGAACAAAGAAGAGATGTAATAATGAAATTTTATCTTTTCATTCTCTTTATTATGTTTTGGTGAACAGAAGTTGATTTATCATACCCCAAGTTTATTTTTCTTTATGGTTAGTGCTCTTTATATCATTTAGAAATCTCCCCAGCCAAGGTTGCAAGGGTACGCTCCTTTATTTCTTCTTTACAGATTTTACTAGGTTTGCTTTTTACGTTTAGATGTTGTTCTTGTTTTAATGTTTATTTTGAAAGAGCGAGAGTGTACTGGGGGGCAGAGAGAGAGCTAAAAGCACGGAGCCCAACGTGGGGCTGCACTCCACGAACTGTGAGATCAGGACCTGAGCTGAAACCAAGAGTTGGACTTAACTGAATGAGCCACCCAGGTGTCCCTACGTTTAGGTTTTTAAATCCACCTGGAATTTATCTTCAAATTTGGTATGAATCAGGAGTCCAACCTCATTTTTTTCTATTTGGAAAAATACATATGCATGTGTATATACAAATACTATAAATAGATTTTATACACACAGATCCTTGTGCTGGGTCTGGTAATCTGTCTGCTTCTGTGCCCATGTCACGTTTTAAAGTTGTATCGTTGTGTGTAGTAGAGCATATACTCCCACCTTTCTGTCTCCTCTCTCTAACTTCTAGTATGTAAGAATACAATCGATTTCTCTAGTCAGCTTTTCGGAGCACCACCAGAAACAGATGGAGCTGGAGACTACCAGACCCTGCGGGCGGCCTACGGCGTGAAAGCTGGAGACTCACACACACTAAAGAAGCAATTTGGGAGAAACAGTCTGCAGAAAGATGGAAATTTAGCAAGGACACATCTTTAACATCTTTCAGAATATGAAGTGATATATCCTGTAATACAGCCAGAACATACTCCCATGAAAGAGGAATAAACTGGGGAGTTAAAAAAAAAAAAAAGTGGTGGCAGAAATGAAAATCTATAAAAAGATGTTGATGACAAAGTTGAGAAAATTTCCAGAAAGGTAGACTGAGTACTAGATACATAGAAAATAGGCGGAAATACACACCTGCAACTGATGTTCTAGGTCAACTCTACTTCAATTTCAATAAATTTTTTAAAAAAGAAAATAAGAGGGGCGCCTGGGTGGCTTAGTCGGTTAAGCGTCCGACTTTCGCTTAGGTCAGGATCTCGCGGTTCGTGGGTTCGAGCCCCACGTCGGGCTCTGTGCTGACTGCCAGCTCAGAGCCTGGAGCCTGTTTCAGTCTGTGACTCCCTCTCTCTCTGACCCTCCCCTGCTCACGCTCTCTCTCTCTCTCTCTCTCTCTCTCTCTCCTAGAAATAAATAAAACATTTTAAAAAATTAAATTAAATTAAAAAAGAACCTCATACACTACATACAGTATTTCTTAAATGTGTGTCCGTTTCCACCTATCAGAACATAAGCTATAGAAGAGCAGGCAATGTGTTTTGCTCCCCATGGCTTCCCAGGGTCTAGAATTAGACTCCTACTTGAATGAACCTCCAATGAACTTGGAGGCTTGCAGTAAGAAGTAGGAAGTCGCTGTGTGTTGGGCAGAATCTCGGGGTGACAAGTGTCCAGAGGAAGGAGGTGGGGCTCAGTGTGAGTGGGAAGCGGTCATCCAGAGCCACAGCAGAGGTAGGGCGCTCTGACCGAGGCAGGACTCTGCGGGAGGGCAGTGCAAGCGTTCAGTGAGCGGGTTTTATTCCTGCAGTCTCTGGTCTTCAGCCCAGCCTCGCTGGATGCCTGTGGAGTTTTGCATGCATCCAAATGGTTGGGGGGAAAGCGTCATATTCCACGTGAAGGGTATTGTGCAATAGGAGATGGAGAGTCAGAAGATCTGGATTCAAATTCAGACTTTTCCCCTAAGTAGCTGTATGGCCTTGGCTAGTCCCGAGGCTCCCCAGGCCATCAGAAGCGGGGTGGGAGCAGGCTGTTGAGGCCAAGCACTGACCCAGGGTACTTCCTCCAACCCATCAGCATGGGAGGGGGCTACTCCTGGGAGGAAGGGGGATGACAGAGCAGGCAGGGCCCGGGCAAACTCCAGGCGCTGGTCCGAGAGCCGGCCCTTGGACATTCTCCCGTTATCGCTGGCCTCCCTACCTACACACGTGTACAGACACTGCTGTTCGGAAGCTGAGCTAATTGGTTTTAAAGTCTTTCTCTTATCATTTTCACAGTCTGGCAGGCAGTGGCTGTGGTTGTGTGGCAGCAGCCAGAGACAAGGTGTCCCCACCATGTCGTATAGCCAGACCCTGGCCAACATCAAGGGCCGGCTCCGGCTCCGCAGCCTCCTGGCCCGGCAGTGCCTGGCAGAGTTTCTGGGCGTGCTTGTGCTCGTGGTAGGCTGGGTGACGGGGGAAGGAAGGAGGGGAGGAGGGCAAAGTTTCTGCCTCTATCTCTTCTTTCTGGCATCTCACTTCATTCAACTATGCATCATTTCTGTGTCTGCCCCTGCCCCTTCCATTCTGGTCCCTGTCCATCCCCCCCCGCCCCCCCCCCGTCTTCACTCCCCCCCCATATCTCCATCTATTTCCCTTCCCTGAGTGTGCCCCTCCCCCTTCCTCACTGACCTTTCCTGTCCCCTCTGCTCTCTCAGCTGCTCCCTCCGCTTGCCTTCCCAGCCTTGCTCCAGGCTCCCCATCCCTTGTTCTCTGTTCCTCACCCCCCTCCCCGCCCCCACCAGCTCCTCACCCAGGGGGCTGTAGCCCAGGCCGTCACCAGTGGAGAAACCAAAGGCAACTTCTTCACCATGTTTCTGGCTGGCTCTCTGGCCGTGACCGTAGCCATCTACGTGGGTGGTAATGTTTCAGGGGAGGAGGGTGGGGTCTGGCCACCTGCACATGTGGGTGTGTGGTGATGGTGACTCCTGGATGTTGTTTTCTTGAGCTTGACCAGTGCCCTGGACTGAGATATGCCAGCTCCTCCCCTCCGTGTATCTCTCCCGCACTCACCTAGCCAGGGAGCTGGGGCAATGCTTTAGGGTAAGTCCGTCTTCCGGTGTCCCCGGCCTGAAGGCCTCAGGGTCACTTTGCCCAGGGCCTCCCCCGCTTGCGCCCCGGACACATGCTGTGTCAGTGTGTCTGCCTTGAGCCCCCTCACGAGACACAAACATGCAGGAGAAAGAGCAGGCAAGCTGCAGACTGGCCTGGAGCCGGGCCGCACGCGCCACACAGGGTGGGGACAGTAACATCTGCCTAGCAAGCTGTGAGACCGCAGCAGCGGGACGCGGTGAGCGCCAGGCGGCCACACCTAATGGATGCTAGCTTTCCTTTCCGGATCCTTGAAGGAGCGCACCTGAACCCAGCCTTCTCCCTGGCCATGTGCCTCCTGGGCCGCCTCCCCTGGGCCAGGCTCCCCGTTTACTGCTCGGTGCAGCTTCTCTCCGCCTTCTGTGCCTCCGGAGCCACCTACGCGCTCTACCACGGTAACGGGCGGGAGCGCGTGTGCCTAGCAGCGCCTGCAGCGGTTTTGCGTGAACAAAGATGGAAACCCCGTCCCCTGTCCCACCTGCTGCAGACACCCTGCAGAACTACACAGGCGGGAACCTGACAGTGACCGGCCCCAAGGAGACAGCCTCCATCTTTGCCACCTACCCCGCCCCTTACCTGTCCCTGAACAATGGCTTCCTGGATCAGGTAGCTTTGTGTGTGTGTTGGGGGGGTGGGGGAACCCGGGAAAGCCCCAGGATTTGCCCTTGTACCTTGGGCCCCCAGACGATTGTTCAGGCTCTGGGTGGGGTACAGGGTGGAGTCTGTCCTTGTAGCACCCCCACCCCAGGTGCCTGTGTTGGACACAGTCAGAGGACATGCGGTGGTGGCCTAGGGTGCTTGGGAGAGAAGGGGCAGATGGACCATCTGGCAGCTTATGGGGGCCCCTCTGCCTCTGTGGACTCCAAGGTTCTGGGAACGGGGATCCTGATTGTGGGGATCCTGGCCATCGTGGACACGTGGAATAAGGGGGTGCCTGCGGGTCTGGAGCCTGTGGCTGTGGGGCTGCTGATCCTGGCCATCGGGCTGTCCCTGGGCGCCAACTGTGGCTTCCCACTCAACCCTGCCCGGGACCTGGGCCCACGGCTTTTCACCTACGTGGCCGGCTGGGGCCCTGAAGTCTTCAGGTGAGAGACAGCAGCCTCCTCCCTCCCCCGACAGCTCCGAATCTGTCCCAGCTGTCCCCTCTCCCACAGCCCTGGTGGCCTCTCAGGACGGGGCCCTCATCCAAGCGCTGCTTCTCTCCTCTCTTACCCCCTCTGCCTCCTCCCCTCCCCCCGGACACCGCGACAGCAGAGTGGGGTTCTTGGGCAGGTCTTTAGGCCTTAGTGACCTCATCAGCTAAGTGGGTGTATTCGGATGATTCCCTAGGGCAGGAGGCTGGACCAGGCTGTCCCGGGGGCTCCTCTCTAACTGCTCTGCTTTGCTGCCAAGGCACCGTCTTCCTGGCGGCCGGCCCCCTGGAGCTGCTTTAGGGACTTCTCTCGGTCCTGCTCCTGGGCCTTCGGGGTGAGGCGAGGGGAGCCCCCCGAAGCCTTCCTTACGTCCCTCTCTTGCAGTGCTGGTAACGGCTGGTGGTGGGTGCCTGTGGTGGCCCCTCTGGTGGGGGCGACCCTGGGCACAGCCACATACCAGCTGCTGGTGGCTCTCCACCACCCGGAGGAGGAGTCGGAGGCAGCGGATCTAGAGTTCACCCAGCGTGAAGCCTCGGGCCTGGGCCAGGAAAGGCCCGCCTCGGCTCAGTTGTCCCAGCAGAAGCTCTGACTCCGACGCTCCCCCTGTGGATCCTGAACAGGGGCCAGAGACCCGGGGCTGGTGGCCAGCGGCCCCGCTTCCTCCCTGACTGGGGCGGCGACCCTCCGCACCCCCGCAGGTCTTCAGACCCCGAGGGCCTCCGCGGACGCTGTGCCTCAAAGCGACCGCCAGAGGGTGCGCCCCGGGAGACCGCGGAGGCCGGAGGGCCGGTGAGGCCGGGGAGGTGGGGGTGCGGGGGGCTGCGAGGGTCGCTTCCCGTATCGCTCGGCCCCCTCCCCGGCTCCCGGCCCCAGAACCTCCGCGCGGCCGTGCTGCCCTCGCGGGGCGGCTCCCCCCACACGGCGAGGGGGCGCAAGGGGGGAAACTGAGGCACAGCCCAGAGCCCAGGCGCTCCGGCCGTCCTTCCCGGAGAGGGGGGCGGGGCGCCCGCTCCGGGGACGCGCGGGGGACCCTCGCTGCCTGCCCCCTGCCCGCGCCCCCGCCCCCCTCTCCTCCGAGTAAAAACCTTCCGGCTCTCTATCCCCGGCTGGCTCGGCTTTTTGGGGGCGGGAGCCACGGCCTCCGAAGGGCCAAGACCCCTCCTCCGCCCCGCACAAAGATGGCGGCCCCAAATCCCCTCCCCTCCCCCCTCCCCAAAACCCCCTCCCGCCCCCCGCCTCTGCCACCACCTCCGTCACTTCCGCCCCGCCGCGGCCGAAACTGACACAAAGTAGCGGGCCGAGCCCCGGGGGAGCGGGGCTGCGCTGGGGGCGGGAGCCCGCGGGGAGCCGAGCGGAGCGCCCCCCGCCGCAGCCCCCGGCATGGGCAGCACGGGGCGGCCGGGGCGGGCGCCGGGCGCCGCGCGCTGAGAGGTGAGGCGCGGCGGGGGCCAGGGTGCGGGGGCCGGGGGGCCAGGGCCCGCCCGCCCGACGGGAGGATGGGGGATCGGGGGGGCGCGGCGCAACCGCTCCGGGCCGAGGGTGTGCGCGCCCTGAGAAGGGGCTTCGGGCAGGTAGGCTCTTCTCTTCGGGTGGGGGAGGTCTGTGTGCCGGGGGTGCCGGATGGGGGCGGCCCCGGAGGTTGGGAGTTGGGGGCCGCGTCCTGGCGAGGGAGGGCGGCAGGGGCGCGGGGTCCAGGGTGCCGCTTCCTTCTGTCCCTCGGACGTGCCAGCTCCTCCGAAAGAAGGGCTCGGTGTCCCCGGGGTCTGCGCTGGAGGCAGCAGCGGCCGGGCCTGCAGGAGCCGTCTTCCTCCATGGAGCGTCGCCTTCTTCCCAGAACTGGCTATTTTTATCCCAAATGTGGTTGCAGAGGGGGCTGGGGCCGGGCGACGGGCAGGGCGACGTGGCCGGGGCGCCTGATAGTTCAGGAAACCCAGGCTGTGTGCAGCTCGGGAGAAGTGAGAGGCCGCGTTCCCAGGGGTGCCGCTGCCGTTCGCTCCCTGCGAGGACCCCCCCCCCCCCGAGGGTTCAAGGTCTGGGACCAAGTCCGCTTCCCTTCCCCCCGGGATCCTAGACGTGAGGCACCTTCCTGCCCGGGTGCGGGCTCCTGACCCCCAGAAGTGCGTGTGGCCCCCTCAGTAAGTCCTTCCAGGGTCTCACGCCCAGATCTTCAGCCGGCGGTGGCTCTGGACGCCTCCCCGGCTGAGGGAGGGGCTGCAGCTTGGGGTGCCCACCCCTCCATCCTCTCCGGCACCCCGCCCTGCCGTGACTCACACTCCAGACTGGGTGGGGACCCTGGCCAGGGCCCTGGAGGAGGGCTTGGCATCCCGGAGTCGGGCATGAGGGTTTGGGGAGGGTCGGCGAGGCTTTCTGGCCGCCCTGGGGCTCCTGCCGGGAGCCGGGGTTCGTGGCGGGCCGGTGGCTGGTGGGGCCCCCGGCCGTGGCCCGAGTCTGTAGTGACAGAGGGTGGGCAGGCAGGCCGTTAGCATGTTTTCGGGCCGACGGGCAGGCCGGCCGTGCCCAGGCCAGAGGAGCAGCAGCCAGGGGAGGCTTTCCGTCCACACCGAGGCGGGAGACCCCAGGGGGGCCGGGGACCGGCCCGCGCGTCCCGCCGGGGAGCAGGGACGAGGCCCTGTGACCCTGCCGGGTGGGCAGGGCTCACCTTCAGGCGAAGGGAGGGAAGATGGAAGGAGGCGAAGCGCTGTCTGACCGGCGCCGCCCCGGCCACCTCTGCTGCCGGCCCACCGGGCTGGGCTTGGGGGCGACTCCCCACCAGGGCCGCGCGGCCCCCCACGCTGCCAGGAAGCGGCCTGGGGACCGTGTTCAGGAAGTGAAGGCCGAGCCTCCAGCGGGAGCGCCCGGGAGGAGGCGCGGCGGGGCCGGTGGAGCGGAGCCGCCGCCGCGCTCCCCGACCCCCCGCCGGCGGCCCCGCCCTGTGGGGAAACCGCGCTTTCCAGTCAGCACAGCGCCGCCCGCCGCCCCGGGGATGGGGCCCCGGGGAGCTGCGCCCCCCTGTCTGGCCGCTTCCTTCCCCTGTAGGCCTTGGCTTCTGCCGCGCACGCACCCCCTTCCCGGGCTGAGGCCTGGGGGAGGCGGTGGGAGGTCAGAGCCGGGAGAGAACCTTCGGGAGCCCAGGAGGGGAACGGAGAGGTTCCCCAGCTTCCCGGCCTCACGTGTGTGCCCCCTTCCGCAGGGTCTCCCATGGGATTGCTGGGACCTTGCTGTGTGAGATGGCACTGTGTGCAAAAAAGCGCCCCCCAGGTAAGACCGGGGCGGAGGGGGGGCTGGAATTCCTGGGGTGTTGGCCTCGGGCGTTGTTACGGCTCGGGGAGCGAAGGAAAGGGACGACCGGCGGCGGGTCTGAAGGAGGGCGGCCCGCAGCCCCCCCCATCCCGGGGGCGGGGCGCCTGGAACGCGAAGGCCTCCCCCCGCCCCGGGCCGGGCTCGCCTCCCGGGTCGCGGGGTTCCCGCGGGGTTCCCGCCCCGCAGCCCCGCACACGTGGCCTCTGGTCTCAGGGCGTCCGAGAGCTCGGCCTCGGGCCCGCCGGGCTGTGTTCCCGCTTTGTCCGCGCGTTTCTCCCTCGGCCCCGCTCTGCCTCCGGGCTTCCCTGCGGCGGGGGCGGGAGGAAGGCCGTTGCCCGGACAACACTGCCCCCCCCCCGGGGGCGGGGCTCGGCGGGCTTCGCCTACGCGGCGCTGGCAGGCGCTGCCCCGCGGGCGGGGGGCGGGCGGGGGGCGGAGCCGGGCGCGCGGGCGGCCGGGCCTGGGGGCGGCGGCCGCGGGGATGGCCGGGGCTGCCGGTGGGGCGCGCGCCCGGCGGCCGGGGCTCCCCTCTGAGCGGCGGCGGCTCGTGCGCCTGCCCGGGGGGCCGCCGCATCGGCGCCGCTGAGGCGGAGGACGGACCGACAGGCTGCCCGCCCTCCCCCCGTTCAAACCGGGACCATGACGGTCCCCAAGGAGATGCCGGAGAAGTGGGCCCGGGCCGCGGCGCCCCCCTCCTGGAGCAGAAAGAAGCCCTCCTGGGGGACAGGTAACGGGGGGGGGGGCAGCGCCTGGCCGCCGTCCCGGCCGTGCTTCTCCCTCCCTCACATTCGGTGTCCTCCGCCTTCCCCGGCCTTCCCGGGGCCTCTCCCTTCCAGACCGGGAGGTCCCTGCGCCCCCTGGCAGGCCTCTCGGCCCGAGGGGTCCCCTTGGGGCCGCTCCTGGGAGCGGAGTGCCCCCGCAGGGGTGGAGCGCTGAGTGGACAGAGGTGCTGTGGTCGGAGGCTTTGCTGCAGCGCCGGGTCTGCAGGGGTCTTTGCAGGGGTGAGGGGAGGGCTCTGGAGTGCCGCCCGTGGCTCCAGCAGGGGAGGATGCTGACCTGACCAAGGCACCCCCTTCCCTGCTTCTGCCTTTGGGACAGAGGTGGGCCGGGGAGCCCTTCACGGGGCGCCCCTCCCCCCATGTTCTGGGCCCAGAACGTGCCCCTGAAGTCCCAGGTCAGCGGGTGCTCCCGATAGGTGCGTGTCACTCGCCAGCGGCCGATGTGTTAAGTGCGGATGGCACGGGAAGAGTTACGGTGAGGGCGCAGCCCTGTAAAGTACCTTCTGTGTCCCTGCCTCCTTCGGAGGGCACGACCCGGCTCCCTGATCCCCCTTTTACTTGAAGAGGAGCTTTGAAATAAGGTGATGTCATTGTGGGCCAGTCAGAAGGCGCTGCTGGTGACATGTGACGAGCAGAGGCTCCTGTAGGGGGTGCGGCACGTGGGGCCGGGGGCCAGGATGCTGCCGCAGGGCGGCTGTGGGCGGCTGTAGCGCACGGTGACCTGTCTGGCCGTCCACCTCACCCGCAGGTTAGGAGGAGCAGGCCCGATCCGCAGGCTTCCCTGGGGAAGGAAGCTTTTTGTCTTCAGATGCTACTTGTCCAGGGATCCCCGAGGCCGTACAGCCTAAGGTGTTCACGAGAGGGACGGGGGAGGGGACCTGAGCGCCCCGAGTAGCCTGGCTGTCAGTGAGGAAGGAGGAAGGGAGAAGCGTCTTGTCTGGGAACAAAGGCCTGTTGAGCCCTGCAGCCAGGCTGCGGGTGACAGGGACACAGCCAGGGGTCCTCGGTGGAAACCCCCCACCCCACCCCCCAAACGGGGCCGGCCTGAAAGGCTCGCTGGTAGCTCCCCCTGAGGGCAGCCTCGTTCTGTTGCAGAAGAAGAGAGGCGGGCGCGAGCCAACGACCGAGAATACAACGAGAAGTTCCAGTATGCGGTAAGCGGCTCCAGCGGCCTGTCCCCTCCTGGGGCAGCGGCCCCCCTGGGGCGGGGGGCGCCTCCTGGCCCCTCTCCGTCCGCCACGGCGCTGAACTTTCCGTGCCTTGGCCTGTCAGTGCAGGAGGGCACTGGAGCCCACGAGAGCCCTCGGCTCCGCCCCCCTGCCCCCACCCCTGCGGTGGCTGGCGCTCCGGGCTGGAGGCTTGGGGAGCGTGGATGGAGGAGGCAGCTTCTGGGTCGGGCGAGGCTGCTTCGTCACCTTCTCTCCCGTTGCCGCAGAGCAACTGCATCAAGACCTCCAAGTACAACATTCTCACCTTCCTGCCCGTCAACCTCTTCGAGCAGTTCCAGGAAGTGGCCAACACCTACTTCCTGTTCCTTCTCATCCTGCAGGTGAGCGCCCTGCAGACCGCGGGCAGCGCGCGAGGCCCGGCAGCGCTGGGTAGCGGGAAGCCGGGCCGGGGCGGGGCGGGCGGGGGCGCGGCGAGGCCTCAGGGCCCTCTCCCCCGCAGCTGATCCCGCAGGTGTCGTCCCTGTCCTGGTTCACCACCATCGTGCCTTTGGTCCTCGTGCTCGCCGTCACCGCGGTGAAAGACGCCACCGATGACTACGTGAGTCGCCCACGCCCCTGCACGCCTCCCTCGCGCCCCCTCCCGCCTCACGGTCCTCTGCGTCCTTGGCATCTTGGCCGAGGACAGGAGGCGGAGCCAGGGCGGGGGTAGGTCTGTGGACACTCGCTCTCCGGGGTCCCACCCAGCGCGCGCTGCCTCCCACCGTCATCTCAGCCCCCGGGGTCTTGTCTTCAGTTCCGCCACAGGAGTGACAACCAGGTGAATAGCCGGCAGTCTCAGGTGCTGATCGGTGGAAGGTGAGTTCCCACGGGAGACCGAGGGCCCCGGGGGGAAGGGCCCCCGGGCGTTTCTCTAGCTCCTGACCCTCTGCTCTGTCCGGTCACCGCTTCAGCCTCCAGCAAGAGCAGTGGATGAACGTCCGTGTTGGCGACATCATCAAACTAGAAAACAACCAGTTTGTGGCGGTAAGGGACGGGTGCCCCTCTAGGCCCACGAGCCTGCAGAGAAAGGAGTCTTCCGTGGGTCACTGCTGCCTCTTACATACCTATGGAAGGAAACTTCCTTGCGTGGAAAGCTCCCCTGTCCTGTTAGCACATCTGGGGCTGACTCCTTTCCGGTCGTTCGTGCTTGGCGCTGAGCAAACCCAGACGCTTAGGGAAGGGAGGGACCAGGAAAGAGTGCGTCGTGACGCAGGACGGCCTTCGGGCCCCTCACCAGGCTTTCTCTCCAGGCGGATCTCCTCCTCCTCTCCAGCAGCGAGCCCCACGGGCTGTGTTACATCGAGACAGCGGAGCTGGATGGGTGAGTCGGACGCCCTGTCTCACAGGTCGTCTGTCTCCTGGAGGGTCAAAGGCTTGTTTTTTGGAAGAGGTTTCTGGGTCTGAGATCTGTACCCTTTGGAAAATTATGGGGTCAAAGGTTTGAGTATGCAGAAGTATTACCCACTCAGTAACGTGGGGGAGGGCGATGCCCCAAGGTCAGGTGCCCCAGGTGGGATGTAGAGGAAGGAAGGAAACAGAACCAGGACTCAGGGACGCTGCCCTTCCAGAGAGACCAACATGAAAGTGCGCCAGGCAATTCCGGTCACCTCGGAGCTGGGAGACATCAGTAGGCTTGCCAAGTTTGATGGTGAGTGATTTTGAGGAGCGGCTTGCAGGTAGGGGACGCGGGTTGGGCTTTGGGGTTTCCATTGCACCTTCTCCTTTTCGCTGCGCTGCGCTCCCTGGACTTCTCTCTGTAGGGGAGGGTCAGGATGGGAGGCGACTGCCGCCGGCCCTTGAATTCATGGCCATTTCAGGAGGTCCTCAGGGCCGAGAGCTCCCTCCTGGCTGTGTGTGTTGACGGAAACTCAGTTTCTTCTTCTTCGGCAAATGATTGTCCGTACTGCTTCTAACAAGAGGAACCGTAGCATAAGAAAAGACCACCCCCAGTTCCACCGTCCTTAGTGGCCTGGCGCCCTGCGTCCATCCACGCTCTGTCTGTGCTCACACAGCTGAGAGCACAAAGCGGTGGGATCGTATTGAACCCACAACTCCACATGCTGCCTTTGTTTAGCTGTTAAATTCGTCATCGTGCCTCACCACTACTTCTAGAAGCTGCCTCGTTCTCGTCAGCAGCTGCGTCACGTCGCACCGCCGACATGTTACAGTTTATTCAGCTGTCCCTTGACCGTTCAGTCGTCGCTAGATTTTTGCTGTTCAGGGAATGCTTCAGTAAAGCTGTCGTGACCTGTGCTGCGCCTTCCGTGGAGCACAGTCCCCACAGTGGGATCAGTGGGCCAGAGGGAACGTGGCTTCTGAGCTCCGTTCACTCCTCCCCCAAAGATGCCCAGGTCGGCCCGCTCCAGCCGTGCGCGCAGGAGCCGCCTTGCCATCGGGCTGTGCGCGCTGCCTGCCGTGACGGTGCTCTGTCTTCCGTTCAGGCGAGGTGGTCTGCGAGCCCCCCAACAACAAGCTGGACAGGTTCAGCGGGACCCTGCACTGGAAGGGGAGCCAGCTCCCCCTGAGCAACCAGAACATGCTGCTGCGGGGCTGCGTGCTTCGCAACACCGAGTGGTGCTTCGGGCTGGTGGTCTTTGCAGGTGAGCTGCCTGGGGTTGTGGGGGCCTCGGCCGCCCCCAGGCACGTGGGAGGAGCCCGTGAGCGCTGGTGCCGCAGCGTGAGCCTCTCGCCCGCCCGCCTGCGGCCCTGCCCCTCTCCTGGGGCGCCGTCGGGGCACTCGGGCAGGACCCCGGAGGCAGGCTGGCTGTTGCGCTTCCCCGTCCCTGCCGCTCCGTTCCAGGTCCTGACACCAAACTGATGCAGAACAGCGGCCGGACAAAGTTCAAGAGAACGAGTATTGATCGCCTGATGAATACACTGGTGCTCTGGGTAAGGTTCCTCCCAGGCCCCCTGTGCCCCGGTCCCCTGCGCCCCAGTCCCCTGCCCCCCGGTCCCCTCACGCAGGCCCCCTCCCCCCGGTCCCCTGCGCCCCGGTCCCCTGCCCCCCAGTTCCCTGCCCCCCGGTCCCCTCGTGCAGGCCTCCTGCCCCCCGGTCCCCTGCGCCCCGGTCCCCTCGTGCAGACCCCCTGCCCCCCGGTCCCCTGCCCCCCAGTCCCCTGCCCGGTGCCTTTGCTCTCCCTCCTGCCTTGTCAGCAGTCAGGTCTCAGGTTTTGGCTTTAGAGCCACTGGCAGGTCGGCTGCTCAAAGGCAGTGTTGATTTCAGGCCCTTCAGGCCTGGAAGATGTTATTTTAAAAAGCCATAGGAACGTGCATGAATCAAGAACTTGAAGAGAGTAAAACAAATCCTCTCTTTTCTGGGTTCAGGTTATGGTGGTGACTTTGTGCAGCATGTGACCTTCTGTTTGCTTTTGTCAGGGACAAGGAGGCCTTCATGGGGATGGAGAGGGAGGGAAAAGAAAAATTTCCATTTGGAGGATGGGTAACAGGGTCTTTTCCCTGACTTCTAAGAGCGGAGGGTCTCAAAGGAAAAGTTTCTGCTTTAGTTTTTGGCAATTCCTGAATTCTTGTTTTGTCTGGCTAGAAATTTGAGCTCCTGGTCGGGCTCTCCTCCCTTCTGGAGCCCCTCTGCCTGCCGCCCCCCCCATGCCCGTCTCCCGTGAGCCCTGCTCTGCCCTGGCCTTAGAGGCTCTGCGGAAACCCAGTCTCCGGGAGCGCGGTTCAGTCTGTCGGGCGAAGGCTTGCATCGCCCCCTGGTGGGCCGTGGGCACCTGGGCAGTTCCTGTGAGGGGGAAGCAGCTTTGGAAACTGATGTCAGAGATGAGACAGCGCTGTGTGTTCTTCTCTGTAAACCACCGAAACTTTTTTAGGGTCCTTTTTCAGAGACTCCAAGGTTTAAGTTTTTATTTTTGTTTATCTAAATGTTTATTTGTTTTGAGAGAGAGAGACAGAGAGAGTGTGGGAAGGGCAGAGGGAGAGGAAGAGAAAATCCCAAACAGGCCCCACACTGTCAGCACAGTCAGATGCGGGGCTCAATTCCATGAACCGTGAGATCACGACCTGAGCCGAAATCAAGAGACAGGTGCTTAACCTACTGAGCCACCCAGGCACCCCCAAAATTGAGACGTTTAAGAGACTTTTTTACAACCTTCAAAAGATTTTTTATTTTTAAGTAATCTATCTGTGAAGATAGCTTACTTCCCTGATTCAGCACAACTGGGGTACCCGGGGGGGGGGCGACAACCGTCACAAACCAGACGTTGAATTGGCTCGTGGAAGCTCAGCCCAGTGGGCGACCTCCACCAAGCTGCTCTGTTAGGTTGGAAGTAGTTCGCTTGCACCCGTTCTTGCCGTCTCGGAAGGTTCCATGAGGCTCCATGGTATCAGGAGCTGTGTAGCTGTTGGGGCCTCCCCGTCATACAGTTGAGCAGGGTGTTCAGGGAGGCCGCCTGATGCTGGCCAGTTCTGGCTACTTCCTGCCGGAGGCGCCCCCATGGTAAAGAGGCCTGAGCTTCTGAGGGTGTGTGATCTTCAGGGATGTACTTGACTTTGGAGGGTTCCCAAGGGGCAGCCTAGCCTCTGCTTCTTGTTCCTCGCCAGATTTTCGGCTTCCTGGTCTGCATGGGGGTGATCCTGGCCATTGGCAACGCCATCTGGGAGCACGAGGTCGGCGCGCGGTTCCAGGTCTACCTGCCCTGGGACGAGGCGGTGGACAGTGCCTTGGTCTCTGGCTTCCTCTCTTTCTGGTCCTACATCATCATCCTCAACACCGTCGTGCCCATCTCGCTCTACGTCAGGTACGCACTTGCTGCACCCTGAGGCGTCGCAGGGCGCGCCGGCCGCGCCGGGGTCCCCAGGGACGTGCTGCCGTGAAGGCGAAAGCGGGGGGAGGGACCTGGGTCTCCTGGTGCCGCAGGCGCCCCCCGCCCACCTGCACGCGGGGCAGACTCCCTGCGGCTCCCGGCACTTTGGGCCGTGTCAGAGCCCGGGCCGCACGGACCCGTCGCTGCGTGCTGGTTGCATGCCGCCTTTGTGCAGCGCAGCCCACGGAGACGTGTTGGGAACGGGCCTCTTCCCTGCGGGAGCTTCAGTCTGGGAGAGACAAATCTGAAACCAGGCAGGAGGGCTGCGGAAGTCAGTCTGCCTGCCGGCTGGGGTGGGGCGCAAGGGGACCCGGGGGCGCAGCTGTGGGGGAGGGGAGATGCTGCCTTCCCGCCGAGGTGCCGTGTGGGAGGCGCGGAGCCCCACGGGCGTGGGGAGGGCGTCGTCCGCTGGGCAGTGAGTCAGGGAGGACACGTCTGAGGAGGCGGCTGGGCCGAGCGAAGGTGAAGCAGGGAGGCATGGGGAGGGGACCAGGAGGGGCCACAGTCCGGCCGCTGTGACAGGGCAGCCGGAGGCCGAGCCGGGCCCCTGAGCCTGGTCCTCACTGTGGAGGGGCTTGACTCTGCCAGTGGACTTCGTACTTAGTAAGCCGTCGGAAGATTCTTTACAACCCATCCCGGGGCTGCTTCAGGAAGCGCTGGCCAGGACACGCAGCGGGGCCCAGACGCAGGAGCCCTCTGGGGTGCTGGTGGTGGTCAGAGTGTCAGCAGGGACCGGCCAGGAGGAGCAAACAGGGAGAGGAAGGAGGAAATTTCCTGTGTTCTTAGAGCCTTGCGCTTGAGATAAGGGGACCTGAGACGCTTGAGAAAGGGAAGAAATCCTTTCCAGAAGCTCGGGACTCTTCCCAAGCACCATGTTTGGTCCACACGGACCCCCGGATGGCCCTCCCATGGCCCCGCCGCCCCGAGTCCCAGCGATGGAGCATTTCCCCCCGGGGTACCCTGGGGGCTCTTCTAGATCACTGAGCAGCATGACCTCAGGCAAAGCCACAGGTACCCGGGGCCTTGGCTTCCACTTGTAGAACAGGAACAATCCTGCCCCACCTCCTTCGTGGGGACGTCTTGCTGCTCGACTGATAGGTCCTAGGCTGGAGAGTGAACTTTGGAAGCAAGTGCGGTTCCGTCAGACCTGGGGCAGCGCGGGGCTTGCGCCCCCCCCCCCCCCCCCCCCCCCCCCCGCCCCGGCTCCTCGTTCCTGCTGCAATGCCTGCTCGTTTGCAGCCTGGCTTTTCCCCGTCTCTGGGCTTGTTGTCCGGGTTCAGATCCGGTCCACCCAGCACCCATGGTTGCAGCGTAAGGAAGCCTCTTGCTAAGTCAGGCTCCACGGTGTGTTGGGGGGCGTGACCCACTCAGTGGGGTGAAGGCCGAGAAGACCCCTCCGGCCGGTCGTGCATTTGCTGGGTAACCGGACCCCGGTCCAGCCTCCGCCAGGTCAGAAGCAGGGCTCCGGGTGTGCCTCAAGGCCGGGTCCGTGCTGGCCCTGATGGCCGCCTTCCTGGGGCGCAGGGGAGGCCCCGGGATGTGGAGAGCAGCGCGCCGTCACTCGACGTGACTTCCCCGTGCAGGGTGGGCGTCTCTGGCTGCCTGGCTCCCTTTCGGAAAGCCAGAGGCCTGGGCTGGGTGGAAGGAGAGCGCTGGCCGTGGGCAGCGAGGGGCCAGGGCCCTCCTGTCTCTCCGTTCTGCTTTCTCACGCCCTTTCTCTCGTTCTCTCCGCACGGTCTCTGTGTGGTTAGCGCTGAGGTAAGAGCTGGCTCAGCCCGGCCTGCAGTCCCTTTGCCTCTGCGTGCGCTGTGTGTCCTGCCTGCCCAGGCCCTGTGCACCTTCTTGTCCGGACAGCACTGGAGGGTCGGGGTCAGGGGGCTCTCCTTGCCCTTCCTGCCCAGGTGTCCGCTCCGTCCGTCCGTCCGTCCGTCCCCAGGCGGGGGGCCTGCAGCGAAGGCCCATGTGGGTGGGGGCCTCCTTGGCCCCCTGCCTGAGCCTGCTGTTCTGCCCCGCCCCCCGTGCAGCGTGGAGGTCATCCGCCTGGGCCACAGCTACTTCATCAACTGGGACAGGAAGATGTTCTGTGTGAAGAGGCAGACGCCGGCCGAGGCCCGCACCACCACCCTGAACGAGGAGCTGGGCCAGGTGGAGTATGTCTTCTCCGACAAGACGGGCACGCTCACCCAGAACATCATGGTCTTCAACAAGTGCTCCATCAGCGGCCGCAGCTACGGTAGGGCCGGGGGCCGGGGCTCCACACGCGTCCTGACGCTGGGGACAGGACACGGCCACGGAGCCCCTCCCCAGCCCTCTGCTGACGCCCTCACCCCAGGCTCGGCCCCAGGCAGGAGGGGGCTCCCCGGCTGCTCGAGGTGAAGCCCAAGACGCTGGGCGTCCACGCAGCTCCCCTGATGCTGCTCAGGGCCCTCGTGAGCCTCTGGAATGTGGCCGTGGCCTCCGGTGTGGCCTTGCTGCTCCGGGGCCTGTGGGGGCCCCACGGGGTGGCTGGGGACGGGTCGTGTGGGGCTCGGTCCGTCGTCAGGCCTGTAGGATGACCATCTCTGGGAACCAGGGGCCCTGGCAGGAGAGCAGGTGGGGTCAGGGATGGGGGCTCAGGGGGCTCGGGCCTGGGGTCAAGGGTGCACATCTGTGTGACGTCGGCTCAGTGGTTGGGGTTGAGGGTCCCCGACGCCTGGGGATTCTGTACCGGCCTCTCCGCTGCTCTGTGAGCCCTGACGCGGCCTCTCCTTCTGTCCCGGTGCGTGTAGGGGACGTGTTTGATGTCCTGGGACACAAAGCTGAATTGGGAGAGGTAAGGGCCAGCGTCCGTAGTTACTCTACACGCCAGCTAAACCCAGGCCGCCTGACCAGTAGTGGGGGGTATAGTCAGGAGGGGTGTGTTCTCTGGTCAAGGAGTGGAAGCTGCTTGGAGAAAGGGGTGTTTGCAGAAGTGAGAGGTTTGGGGGTTCACGGCGGGCAGGATCTGAGCTGTCCTCCGCACAGGAGATGGGGTGGGGATGGCCTCCCCGGGGCGCAGCCTGGCCCCTAGCCTCTGCTCACTGTTTTCTCTCCAGAGGCCACAGCCCGTCGACTTCTCCTTCAACCCTCTGGCTGACAAGAAGTTCTTGTTTTGGGACCCCACCCTCTTGGAGGCTGTCAAGATGGGGGACCCCCACACACACGAGTTCTTCCGCCTCCTATCCCTGTGTCATACCGTTATGTCGGAAGAGAAGAACGAGGGTGAGTCCAGGGCCGGCCGGTTCTCCCCGCTGACTCGGAGCCTCAGCCCACCCCGCGGTGCGGCCGAGCGGGGGCGGCCTGGCGGGACGTGCGGCTCCCAGCGGCCACTTACAGCACACGCGTTCCTCCCCTGCACAGGGGAGCTGTACTACAAGGCCCAGTCCCCGGACGAGGGGGCCCTGGTCACTGCAGCCAGGAACTTCGGTTTTGTGTTCCGCTCTCGCACCCCCAAAACCATCACCGTCCATGAGATGGGCACAGCCGTCACCTATCAGCTGTTGGCCATCCTGGACTTCAATAACATCCGCAAGCGGATGTCAGTCATAGGTGAGGCCGGGTCAGAGTTGCGAGTCGCAGGTGACGCCTAGACGGAGTCATGGACGAGGCCGGGTTGAGGGGCGAGGACAGGACAGGGGGTCATTGTCAGGGTTGGGGTTGCGGGTGGGGCCAGGATGGGCTGCCATGGGCTTGTGGGGGGCAGCGTCCTGGCCTGGAACGGGTGAGGGGTGCTGGGTGGTCTTGTTTGTGTGTTGAGATTGGGGGGGTCTTCACCCACCTGAGTCTGGGACTCGCTTCCGCTGCTGCGACATAGTGCGGAACCCAGAGGGCAGGATCCGGCTCTACTGCAAAGGGGCGGACACCATTCTGCTGGACAGGCTCCACCCTTCCGCCCAGGAGCTGCTCAACACCACCACCGACCACCTGAATGTAGGTGTGGGGGCGGGGCCTCCATTCTGGACTCCGTGCTGGGAGGGGCCGGGCAGCTGAGGCCCCGGTGACCTTGGTGACCTTGGTGACCTTGGCTCCGTCCCCAGGAGTACGCAGGGGAAGGGCTGCGGACCCTGGTTCTGGCCTACAGGGACCTGGACGAAGTGTACTATGAGGCGTGGGCCCAGCGGCGGCTCCAGGCCAGCCTGGCCCAGGACAGCCGGGAAGACAGGCTGGCCGGCGTGTACGAGGAGGTTGAGCGTGACATGGTGGTACGCGCGGCTGCAGGGGCTTGGGGAGGCGGCGGGACCAGGGGCGGGGGGGGTGGGGGGGTTCAGGGAGGGCTTGGGCCGGGGACTGTCCCGTCAGGGCCCCTTGTGGGGTTTGCAGCTGCTGGGCGCGACGGCCATCGAGGACAGGCTTCAGCAAGGGGTTCCAGAGACCATTGCCCTTCTGACGCTGGCCAACATCAAGATCTGGGTGCTGACTGGGGATAAGCAAGGTGAGAGTGGCGGGGAGCCACGTCCGGAGCACCGGGCGGCTGCGCCGGCCCCAGAGTTTGAGCCGGACGGGGTACTGACCTTGCCAGCCTTTCTGTCGGCAGAGACGGCTGTGAACATCGGGTATTCCTGCAAGATGCTGACGGACGACGTGACCGAGGTGTTCGTGGTCACGGGCCACACAGTTCTGGAAGTGCGGGAGGAGCTCAGGTAGGCGCAGGCCCGAGGCGGGCGGGCATCCGGCTCTTCGAGGGCCCTGCTCCCGTCCTGGGGGCCACGGCTGCGTTTCCATCCCCAGGAGAGCCCGGGAGAAGATGACGGACTCGCCCCACGCGGTGGAGAACGGCTTCGCCTGCCAGGAGAACCGTCCTTCCTCCAAGCTCGCTTCTGTCCTGGAGGCCGTCGCGGGGGAGTACGCGCTGGTCATCAACGGGCACAGCCTGGTGAGCGTCCCCGCGCACACAGCTGCTCCGGCCAGGGTCTCCCCTCTTCCTTGTTGACATGGCCTGACCTCACAGTGGGGCTGGGGGGAGCGACTCCGGCCCCCCCGGGAAGATGGCGCTCTCACGCCCTGTGTTGCAGGCCCACGCATTGGAGGCAGACATGGAGCTGGAGTTTCTGGAGACGGCCTGTGCGTGCAAGGCCGTCATCTGCTGCCGCGTGACTCCTTTGCAGAAGGCGCAGGTGGTGGAGCTGGTTAAGAAGCACAAGAAGGCCGTGACCCTTGCCATTGGGGATGGAGCCAATGATGTCAGCATGATCAAAAGTGAGTGTGGCTGCGCGGGTGGGGGAGGGTCCCGCGGTGCGTGTGGCTGCGCGGGTGGGGGAGGGTCCTCCAGTGAGTGTGGCTGCGCAGGTGGGGGAGGGGCCGTCTGCCTCACTGGGACTCTGAGCGTGTGACCCTCTGCCCGCCACCCCATCCCCTCCTGTCCCTCAGCGGCCCACATTGGCGTGGGCATCAGCGGACAGGAGGGCATCCAGGCGGTGCTGGCCTCCGACTATTCCTTCTCCCAGTTCAAGTTCCTGCAGCGCCTCCTGCTGGTGCATGGGCGCTGGTCCTATCTGCGCATGTGCAAGTTCCTCTGCTATTTCTTCTACAAGAACTTCGCCTTCACCATGGTCCACTTCTGGTTTGGCTTCTTCTGCGGTTTCTCAGCCCAGGTAGGGGGCTTGCTGCTGGCCCATCTATGCGCTCAGGGGCAGAGGCCTTCCGTCCTGTCCATCAGGTCGGTCCCCCTAGGGCCCAGCTGTCGTCTGACTCACCGCTGGTTGTTGGGGGCGTCCGGTCGCCTCAGGCTCAGTCGGTGGAGCACTCGACTCTTGATCTCGGGGCCGTGAGTTCAAGTCCTCCATCGGGTGTAGAACGTACTTAAAAAAGAAACCAAAGGGGCGCCTGGGTGGCTCAGTCGGTTGAGCGTCCGACTTCGGCTCAGGTCATGATCTCACGGTTCTTGGGTTCGAGCCCCGTGTCGGGCTCTGTGCTGACAGCTCAGAGCCTGGAGCCTGTTTTAGATTCTGTGTCTCCCTCTCTCTCTCTGACCCTCCCCTGCTCATGCTGTCTCTCTCAGAAATAAATAAAACATTAAAAAAAATTTTCTTTTTAAATATAAAAATAAAATTAAATAAAAACCAAAAACAAACATTTGTTGAACAGATAAGACTCCAGAAAATTCTGTAGGGCGTCGTGTACCACTCAGCATCCTTTTTCTGCCTTGTTTGTACTGGAGAGACTGCTGTTCACTCTCTCTTGCTCCCTGTTCTCTTCGCAGACCGTCTACGACCAGTATTTCATCACGCTGTACAACATCGTGTACACCTCCCTCCCAGTCCTGGCTATGGGGGTCTTCGACCAGGTCAGGGGCGGGGGTCCAGCGAGGAGGGGAGGGATTGCGTGGATGCCGGCGGCGCACCCACCGCCTGCGCTGACTCGGGGGGCAGCTCTCCCGGGGCCGAAGTGCCTGCGAGCCTCCGGCTTCCTGGACAGAGATGGGCGGGGGCAGCTGGCTCCAGGAGGGAGGAGGCCTTGGCGGGCTGTTCCCTCGTCCGTCCTGAGGCCCCCGGGGCCAACTGGTCGTCCCCACACAGGACGTCCCCGAGCAGCGCAGCATGGAGTACCCTAAGCTGTACGAGCCGGGCCAGCTTAATCTGCTCTTCAACAAGCGCGAGTTCTTCATCTGCATCGCGCAGGGCATCTACACGTCCGTGCTCATGTTCTTCATCCCCTACGGCGTGTTCGCCGAGGCCACACGGGACGACGGTGCCCAGCTGGCCGACTACCAGTCCTTCGCAGTCACCGTGGCCACCTCGCTGGTCATCGTCGTGAGCGTGCAGGTAGGGGCGGGGGGCAGACCGGGACCCGCCCCCCGCCTTCTACTCGGGACGGAGGGAGCCTCCCGTCCGGGGTTGCCCCGGGGTGGGGGTGGGGGCGGGGGGCGCCCTCTCTGCCTGTGACTCCTGCCGTCCGCAGATCGGGCTGGATACAGGCTACTGGACGGCCATCAACCACTTCTTCATCTGGGGCAGCCTGGCTGCCTACTTTGCCATCCTCTTTGCCATGCACAGCGATGGGCTCTTCGGCATGTTCCCAAACCAGTTCCGGTTTGTGGGTGAGTCCCGGGGGCTGCTTCCCGAGTCGGGGGGTCAGCTCCTCTGGACCAGTGGGAAGTCTGTCCAGCCCTCCTGTGTGCTAGGCCTTCTGTGACATGTCTCTGATGGAGGCCTGGCCCTAGAGGGTGTGGGAGTGGGGACGGTCCCTCCAGGCCTGTGCAGGGTCAGGCTCGGAGGGAGGTCGGGGCCGAGCAGGGGCAGAGGGGCAGGTGGCCGGGGCGGCCCCACAGAGGAGGCTGCTGTGAGCGGAGCCGGGGCTGCGCTCTGATTCCAGGCCAGAGCGCCGGAGGCGTAAACGGCTGGAAAGGTAGGCCATCCAGGTGTCAGAATTGCTTTTCATTTACTAGGAGTCTTTTTGTTGTTGTTTCTTCGAGGAAAGAGGGGGGCACGGCAGCAGAGGGTTGCTGTGGGAGGAGCAGCGAGGTGGCGGCGAGCAGCTCTGCAGACGGGCGCCGGCCGCTCCCCAGGGGCCCGTGGCCGGTCAGGGGCACGAAGGACACGTGCAGGGGTCGCACTGGCTTTAGCTGTCCGTCCGTCCGTCCTGGGGGCACCCAGTCAGCACCGGCTGTATGCCTCTCACGCTCCCGGGTGCTGGGGGGGCAGGAATTCCCGGAACAGGCAGTGCGCTTGCTCTCCCGGGTTCCGCGTCGGTGAGACCGCGAAGCAGCTTACAGGTTAGCGGATAAACCCCCCAGGATAGGAGGTGCTGCGGCAGCCGCCTCGCGGGGCGGAGAGGGACGGCGGTCAGCGCAGACCTGGGAGAAGGGAAGCCTGGGTAAGGGGAGCGGACAGCCAGGACCAGAAGCTGGAGGGGAGGGGCTTGCCCGGGGTCCCAGCGGCAGAGGGAGAGGCGGCGGGCAGGGCGGGCCTCGTGTGTGTCCTGGGGTAAGAATGGGTCTAGGTCGTTAAGCTCTTCAGTCGAGGGCCAGAGGTGTGAATGATGATGGAAACACGGCAGAAGCACTGGAGAGTCCGAGTGGGGAAGCACCAGACGCCCGGTTTGCCTGGAAGGCTGGCCCCTGCTGTTTGTGGGTGGCTGGGCACAGACAGGGACGACGCAGGGAGACCGGGCAGCAGGCTCTGTGACGATCGGGGGACTGGGGGCGGCAGGCGGCCGCGGCCGAGTCCCCAGGTGGATGAGGAGTCCGAGGGAGGAGTCGGGGTTGACTCCAGGCCTTTTTGGAGCAGCGGAGCGGGTGGTGGCGTTTCCTGAGCTGGGAAGCCCCGAAGCAGGTAGGGGTGGGGGGCGCGGGGCTGTGAGACACAGAAGTCTCCGGTAAAGGCCCGAGGTGCTGGGGAAACACATTTGGGGAGCGGGGAGCACTCGGGAGCTGACGTGGGCTGCCTCTCTGCCCGTGTCCCCCCACCACGGGTCCCCCCCACGTCCGCAGGCAACGCCCAGAGCACCCTGGCCCAGCCCACTGTGTGGCTGACCATCGCACTCACCACGGTCGTCTGCATCCTGCCTGTGGTCGCTTTTCGCTTCCTCAAGCTGAGCCTGAAGCCTGATCTCTCTGACACGGTGAGCGGCTGGCTGGCTGCTTGGGGGTGGGACCCCAAGTCAGAAAGTCCCCTGCCTCGAATGCCCGTGCTCTAGGTCCCCTCTCCCCCCGCCCCTGCCCCCACACTCCAAACCCCTCTCTCCACGGAGTCCCCTCTCCGCAAAGTCCCCCCAGTATGGCTCCTAGCCCCCCCTGCCCTCAGGGCCCCCTCTCCCAGCTCTGCCCCTGTGCTCTGAGCCCCTCTGTGTGGAGTCCCCCTGACATGGCTCCTAGCCCCCCCACCGCCCTCTGGGCCCCCCCCCCGGCCTGCCCCTGCGATCTGGGCCCCCTCTCCATGGAGTTCCCCCCCACAGAGCTCCTCGCCCCCCCCGCCCCTGCACTCCAGGCCCCCTCTCCCCCCGCCCCCCTCCGCAAAGTCCTCCCCCAACCGACGGGGCTCCCCCCCCCCCAGGTGCGCTACAGCCAGCTGGTGAGGAAGAAGAGGGCCCAGCACCGCTGCACCAGGAGGGCCGGCCGCACCAGCTCCCGGCGCTCAGGCTACGCCTTCGCCCACCAGGAGGGCTTCGGGGAGCTCATCATGTCCGGCAAGAACATGCGGCTCAGCTCCCTGGCGCTGGCCGGCTTTGCCACCCGCTCCAGCTCCGGCTGGATCGAGAGCCTGCGCCGGAAGAGGAGCGACAGCCCGGGCAGCCCCGGCGGCGGTGGCGGCGGCGGCTCGGCCGACAAGCCCCTTAAGGGGTGACTGCCCGGCGCCCCGCGCCCCTCCCCGCGGGCTCCGGCCCAGCCAGGGGCTCCAACGCGGAACCAAGAACAGAAGACGAGATCGAGCTGGGGTCTGCCCCCGCCCGGGGCCTGCGGGGAGGCTCCAATCTCTATTTTTCTACTCCCACCCCGAGGGGCAGAGCGCCCCATTCCCGAACTACATGAGAATGTATCGCCGGAAGCCAGAGTGCTGGGGCCCGCGGCCCAGACGTCGTGTGTGCGTCTCTCCTTGGTTTGTGTCGTGTCCATTTCCGTTTTGTTTTCTTTCTTTGGCAAGTGGAGGGGCCTCTGAGCGACTTTCACGTTGTGGGAAGAGGAGGCTGGTCCACGGGAGGGGCCCCCACACACACCAGGCCACACAGGGTGGCCGCATGGGGGCCCCCTGTCCCGGCCTCCGGCTGCTGCTGGGCCCCGGGGGCTGGCCGGGCACAGAGTCGTCTTCCTCACCTTGAGAGTGAAGTGCTCCCCTCCCCAAACACACACCCCTTCCTGGTCCTGAGTCCTGCTGGTTTTGGGCTGGGGCCAGAGAGGGTGGCCGTCCTTCTCAGTGACGTAGGGTTGGGTGTAAGATGTCGTCCTAAAAAAGATCCCTTTAAGTGTGGGTCTGGGTTCCCTAGCAGAGTCCTGTCTGTCGTCCCTTCCTCCTCCGGCATTTTCCTGCGCCTGCGCCGCGCCGGGCCTGGGCCTGCTGGGGGCGCTGCTCCTCCCCTCCCCCGCTCCCCGCAGGGGGCAGGCAGGGGCCACTGTCCTTCCCCCACCGCCCATCAGGCTTCTCCTGGGCTACTTGGCACCAGTTCAGTCTTGGCGGGGGGAGGGGGGGTGCCGAGGGCTGGCGTGTGGCTGGAAGGGGTGCAGCTCTCACACCCTCCAAGTGGTTGCCTCCAGGGAGGTGCACTGGGCAGGGGAGAGGGAGAGGGGGTCCCTTCTGGCCGCACAGTTTACAAACCCAACATCATGTCTGTCTGTGTGTCTCTCAAGGTGAGAGTCTGATTTTTATACCAAAGAGGAAAAGATTTTTTTTCATATTTGGTTTGTCTATATTCTATAAATATATATATATAAATATATATATATATATACAGTTATATATATATTATTTTTTTGGTTCTCTCTCGTTTTTCAGGGAGGGAAGAAAGTACCAAGTCGCATTGAGCTGTAATTAAGGAACATTCTGTATAATTTATGACACATTTCTATACTTGCAAGAATTCTATCATTTTATGGACGTAAGAGAAAAAATGCCTTTTTATAAAATTCCAGTTTCTGAGAGGTGTGTAACTTGTGTCTTTTCTAATGTTGGAACAAGGCTGGCTCATCAATAAAGACCGGCTTTCTTGGCGGCCGCTGGGGGGTGGGGGCCGCTGCTGGGCTCTAGTGCGCGCTCCACAGGCCTCCCGGGACTGAGTGTCCGTGGACGGGACAGCCGTGGACCGGCCACGGGGACATCGTGTCCAGCCAGTGGCCGGGTGCTTAGGGCCTTGAACCGTTTGCTTTTCCAGACAAGGCAACCGCACATTCCTGACACATGCCAGGCGGGGGGGGGAGGAGCAGGTAAACACTGTCCGTGGATTTTTTTTGGCCCCTGGCCCATGCCCTTCCCACCGGCCCCCGCCCTCCAGCCTCCGCTCTCCCTGCTTTTCACAGAAGTGAACACCCAGGAGCAGGAGTTTGAGGTTAGCAGATGAAGTGAGCTTTCCTGCAGAGCCAGGGGGCCGGGGGAGGCCCTGGATCGCTGGGGGCCCACGACGCCCCTCCACCAGTCAGCTTCCCCCGTGACCTGACCAGTCTTGTGTCGCTGGTGACCGTCTTCCTCTTTCTCGCTGCTGATGAGCCGCAGGGGGGAGTGGAGGCCAGATCGGTTTTCCCCTTGAGGAGAAGCCATCCAGGGTGGGTGCGGCACCCCAGGGCCCCGGACACACGCTTGCACCTGCCTGCAGCCTCTCCCTGGGACCTTCCAGAACACTGAGCCTCAGCCCCCACCCCCGGCCGGACACGGAAGCAGCCCCCCCAGGACACGGAAACAGGCCTTAATCCCTGGAGGCTGGCTGGGCTCCCAACTTCCTTGTCAGGGTCTCCCTCCTGGTGATGCCCCAGCTCCGCGCCCCCCCCCCCGCCCAGAGACAGACCCTCCCGAGCCGCAGGTTTTGGGGAGAGGAGGTCCTGCTCAACCATGGAGGGACTGTCCTCCACCAGCCGCTCTCAGGCCACCAGACACGCCTTCCGCTGTGCGGACCATAAGAACATGCAGTCTTGGAGGCTCCGGGCGCTGGACCCCCCCACGGCTCCCCCACGGACCCCCACAGCTCCCCCTTGACCTCCCACTTCCTTGCACGCGCTGTGGACTTGCGCACGTGTCCCTCTGGTCACTGCCCTCCTGGCTTGTCCACGGCGGTCCTTTCCCTGCACACAGATGACCTCCTGCCTCTGCAGCTGCCCTGCTTCTGTGCGCGCTCCACCTCCCCCCCTGCAAATCCCCGTGCAGGCTCCTCTGCAGAGGGGGCAGGGTGCCCCGCCCCCGCAGGCCCCTCGGGCTACTGGAATCTCACCCCTTCCCTCCACCGCTTCCCCCCACCACCCTGCCTCAGCTGCCCACCACTGGAGGGGCCCTCTCTGCCCTCCTGAGTTTCTCTTCACCAGTTCCCCTGAGCTCAGTGCCTCCCCTCCCCCCGCCCCCTGAAGCCTCTCACTAGGACCCCCTTCGGCCCTGGCCCTGCCCAGCACACACCTCCAGGTCTGGCCTCGCTGGCGGTCCCATACTTGTCTGACTTGTCGCCACATTCGTTGCTGCTGTGGCTGCTGCTCAGCCTCCCTCTGCGCCTTTCCCCCAGGCTTCATCTTGGCTCTGGGCCCTTCTGCGTTGCTGAAGGGCCTTAAGCGGCTCCGTGGAAATCCACAGTTTCTTTCTTTAATACTTTTTAATTTTTATTTAGTTTTGAGAGAGGGACAGAGAGTGAAAGGGGCCGAGAGAGAATCCCAAGCAGCTCCACACGGTCAGCACAGAGCCCAGTGCAGGGCCCAAGCTCACAAACTGTGAGATCATGACCTGAGCCGAAAACAGATGCTTAACCGACTGAGCTGCTCAGATGCCCCGAAAACCCACAGTTTATTTATTTATTTATTTATTTATTTATTTATTTTTAATATTTTTATTTATTTCTAGGAGAGAGAGAGAGACAGCGTGAGCAGGGGAGGGTCAGAGAGAGAGGGAGTCACAGACTGAAACAGGCTCCAGGCTCTGAGCTGGCAGTCAGCACAGAGCCCGATGCGGGGCTCGAACCCACGAACCGCGAGATCATGACCTAAGCGAAAGTCGGACGCTTAACCGACTAAGCCACCCAGGCGCCCCACCGAAACCCACAGTTTAAATGAGATCTGGGAGGGGCGCCTGGGCGGCTGCGCGTCTGACTCGATGTCTGCCCAGGTTGTGATCTCACGGTCAGCAGTTCGAGCTCGGCCTTGGGCTCTGTGCTGGCAGTGCGGAGCCTGCTTGGGATTCACTTGGGATTCTTTCTCCCTCTCTCTCACAAAATAAATCAATAACCACTTAAAATAAATAAATACAAATAAATGAAACTTGGGATTGTCCCTATAGGTCTGCTCCCCCCACACTCAAGGCCTCGGGTCCAGCGGTCCGTGAGCGTCTCCGGCTGGACGGCCCGCCAGCTGCTCACATTCCACGTGCCCCAGGTCGCACACTATTTTTCTCAACGTCTCCTCCCACGACAGCCTGCGTTTCAGTGAGTGGTGCACTCACCACTCACCGGGACCAGACGCGCGCCCTAGAGGAGCGCCCACTACACCTGCCCCGATGCCGCCGCCCCGTAGCCCACATTTTATGCTCCTGATGCGGAGCGTGGGACGAATTAAACTGATGCCCTGAGCTGCTGTTTCCCGGGGACACTGACCCCGTCGGGGTCACGACAGCCCTGTCTTCCCCTAAAGGAGGATGCTCAAAACAGTGTCACGCGGGCGTCGCCCGTCCCGCGGGGGAAGGGGAGAGACGGGTGCGGAGCAGACAGGCTGCTGTGTCTACCTGCGTGCCCACCGGAGCCCAGGAAGACCCGGGGCTGTGGACCGTGGTCTCCACTGAGGAGGGACCCCTCTAAGCAGAGTCTCTATGCCCACAGCTGAGCCCTGGAGCTGAAGGGAGGGGCTGACTTCTCCCTCTTATCTCTGTTTCCAGAACAAAGTCGGGAAGCCTACACCCATGTTTTACCATTGTGTGGGGGGCTGAGTTCGGCAAGCTGGACCCCAAGGTCAGGGAGGGGAGAGGCGGGCGGCTGTGTGTCCAGTGAAAGAAAAGGTGCTCTGCTCTCAGATTCAGCACGGGCCTCCTCTGGGCCTCAGCGCCCGGCCCCAGGGGGAGACCCCGCACCGCCCGGGCCTCCGGCTCTCCGGGCAGAAGGATTTGCTGCTCCATCTGCTGGGCTGGCAACAGAAGGCCTTTCCCAAACATTTCCTGGGGCCTAGAATCGATAAGAAACAAACAGAACTCTATGGGGTGTTTTCCCTTTTTTTTCTTTTAATTTTTTAAAATGTTTTATTTATTTCTGAGACAGAGAGAGAGAGAGACAGTGTGAGCAGGGGAGGGTCAGAGAGAGAGGGAGTCACAGAATCTGAAGCAGCTCCAGGCTCTGAGCCCACGAACCGGGAGATCATGACCTGAGCCGAAGTTGGACGCTTAACTGACTGAGCCCCCCAGGTGCCCCTGGGTGTTTTCCCTTAAGAAATATTTCTGGACAGAAGACACGGGGTCCCCCAGGCTCAGACTTCCTGGGCCGGAGATTCTGCAGAAACCGTCCACCCTGCTATGACCGGGGGTGGTGTTTAAAACACCCCAGGAGGGACGCTGTCTCTGTCCCTCGGGGTCCAGCACTGACCCGGGTGGGCCCCAGCGTGGGGAGGAGGACTGATGCCGGATTTACTCGAGGTCCTGCAGGGGTGCGGAGGGAGCTGCAAGCCCAAGGCACCCCCGTCCTGGGCACCGCCCTGCCCCGTGCCAGACACCGCTGGCCGCCAGCCGCCGTCCCAGGGCCTGGGAAAGGCACTCGAGGTGGGTTTGCTGGAGCGGGAGCTCAGGCCTTTGCTGCAGGGGAAGGGCTGGCGCCTGGGAGAGCAGAGCGGCTGCTCTGCGGAGAGGCCACAGACGTGGTCAGCCACGGAGACCCGCGTAGGTCTGACCCGCAGCAGCCCTTGCCCGTCTCTGGGGCCACGTTCTGCGGTGTCCCCACCACCGATTCTCACACGTCTGGGCACAAGGGCCCCTCGGGAGCCGCGCTCCTGGGCCTCGGCGCGGCGCAGCCACTTCCCCCGGCGCCGGCTCGGCTGCCTGGAGCCTTACGGGTTCGGGGCCCGTGACACGCCCCGCGTCTCAGCCCCGAGGTCGCCAGGGGTCAGGCCCACGGACTGCGGAAGCGCGTTCTACCCCTGCTGCACAGCGGCGTCTTCGCAGCGGCCTGGAAGGGCCGGGCTGTACGGTCGGGCACTAGGAGGCAGTGAGCTCACGAGCACCCCGGGGGGCCCGGGTGCACACGGCCCGGGGGGGGGGCGCCGCGGATGCGGAGGAAGAGGCCTGCGGACACCCTGGCAGGGGGCTCGGGCTCTTTGGGCAAAAAATGCCAGAGTCAGAAACAAGGCTTCGGGTGACGAGCCAGGCCTCTCAGTTTCGCATCTGCGGTGGGCGCGCTTCCGCGAGAGACGTCGTCCTTTAGTAGCCCTGTTGCTGGCGACACAGGCCGTTAGCGCAGTTTACGGGAAGGGGGGACGTGTTCAGGGGCTTGGACGCTGCAGCAAAGGGGAGCTGTGTTCACGCTTCTGTGGGAATGTCCTCTTTTGTCTCGCTGCTTCTAAGATTTTTTCTTTTTTTTAATAATTTTTTATTTCTTTAAATTCTTTTTTTTAACGTTTTATTTATCTCTGAGAGAGAGGGAGAGAGAAACAGCGCGAGCAGGGGAGGGTGAGAGAGAGAGGGAGACACAGACTCTGAAACAGGATCCAGGCTCCGAGCTGGCAGTCAGCACAGAGCCCCACACGGGGCTCGAACCCACGAACCGCGAGATCATGACCTGAGCTGAAGTCAGACGCTTACCTGACTGAGCCACTCAGGCGCCCCAAATGTTTTTATGCTTGGTAGAGTCACTGAGTTCCCGAAATCTCTTCTCGTTTTGTGAAGAGATTCATTCTTTTTTCTCCTTTTTGTTCTGCTTCAGTGCTTTTCCATGACTGTCTTCTAAGTCACGGATTCGTTCCTGTGCTTCCTCCAGCCTG